ACACCAGGAGACGAAAACCGCGACCAAAAGGGAGTTTTAGACGCCCAGTTTCACACGGCTCGTGTGAGCCCGAGACACGGGTCGTGTCATCCCGACGGGTCGTGAATTGAGCTCTCGGCATTGTCACACGACTCGTGTGGCCTATGACACGAGTCGTGTGACCCTGGACGCAACAAAATCGACTTTTACGGGTTTTTCCTATTTTGACGAGTTTTTCGACCTATTTCGACTAGGACTCGACCCCAACTATTTAAGAGACACTAGGACACGTTTTTGAGGAGTCTTGGACATATTTTGGAGACTCTTGGAGGCTAGAAACACGAGCAAGACGAGGGAGAAAGCCGGGAAGAAAGGATCGACGGAGCCGAATAAGCTTTTTCTTTCTTTTTCTTTTCCTCTTTCGAACTCAATCTTTTATATCTATTTTTCTTATTTTGAAAACATGTTTTTAGGCTAGATTTATCTTAGATTCTAGGATTTGTTAGTACTCGGATTGATTTATGATTTAGTTTTTATTGATTTCATTCCGGTTTATCTTTCGTTTATAAATTTCTTGTGCTTATTATTATTGTGTGAGTAGATGGCCACTATGAATGCATATTTGTGATCGATTTGAGACCGAAAGGAGATAATTGATTGCTATAATTGAGAGATTTATAACGTAAGAGAATAAACAGACCGAGAGGTTGATAGGATCTTGCGAGAGAATGAAAATCCTAGGAACTTATGGGAGTTAGTTGTTCATCTTGAGACCGAGAGGAGATAGATAACAATTAATATCTACGATTTGACTTGTTCGAGAGAAAGGTTTGAAATCAATTTAGCGATTATCTCTACGATTGGTAAAATTAAATAAGGTTTGTTTGAATATAAACGTTTCATGAATTAATTCCGAGGAAAGCATAACCTAGAATCTACCTTTTGTATCTTATTTTATTTTTATTTGTTTAGATAAATTAGTTTTTAGTTTAATTCTTAGTTTATAATCATCATTTAATTCACTAGTCTAGATAATATTTAATCGTCATTATTTTAGTACTTAATTAATTTAACTACAATCTCTGTGGAATGCGACCTTGCTCGCCACTACCTATAGTTACTCCGTACACTTGCGGATAGCGAAAATAATTAGCGAACACTAGGTTAGTTGCCTTTTGTTGCTAGGTTATTTCTTTCTTGCTGCTAGGTTAGTTGTCTTTTGTTTATAGGTTATTTCTTTCTTGCTGCTAGGTTAGTTGTCTGTTGTTGCTAGGTTAGTTGTCTTTTGTTGATAGGTTAGTTCTTTCTTGCTGCTAGGTTAGTTGTCTTTTGTTGCTAGGTTATTTCTTTCTTGCTGCTAGGTTAGTTGTCTTTTGTTGCTAGGTTAGTTGTCTTTTGTTGCTAGGTTAGTTCTTTCTTGTTGCTAGGTTAGTTGTCTTTTGTTGCTAAGTTATTTCCTTCTTGCTGCTAGGTTAATTTCCTTCTTGCTGCTAGGTTAGTTGTCTTTTGTTGCTAGGTTATTTCTTTCTTGCTGCTAGGTTTGTTGTCTGTTGTTGCTAAGTTAGTTGTCTGATGCTGCTAAGTTAGTTGTATTTTGTTGCTAGGTTATTTCTTTCTTGTTGCTAGGTTAGTTGTATTTTATTGCTAGGTTATTTCTTGTCTTTCTTGCTGCTAGGTTAGTTGTCTGATGCTGCTAGGTTAGTTTTATGCTAGGTTAGGTTAGTTGTCTGATGCTGCTAGGTTAGTTGTATGCTAGGTTAGTTGTATTTTATTGCTAGGTTATTTCTTTCTTGCTGCTAGGTTAGTTGTCTTTTATTGCTAGGTTTTTTATTTTTTTGTTGTTTATAAAAAAATTGTAACCCATAGGATTTGAATCTGGTACCTCATGGAAGCAAGACAAGCAATGCAACCACTACACCACTCAAGGTTGAGTGTCTTTTGTTGCTAGGTTATTTGTCAACGGGTCAACGCCGGAAGTCAACAATTTTCGCCGGAAGTCAACGGTCAACGCCGGAGTCAACTAATAATTATTTTATTATTTAATTAATGTATCTTTTATTAATTGATTTTGATCTAGACAAAATGAGTAGCTAAGATTGAGTCTCACGTACTCATTTTAAGGAGTGGTCTCATTGGATCCATCCCCTATATATATATATATAGATGTACTTTACTTTGTTTATATTACATAATTAAGTTCATTAATTAATTAAATAGCTAATATAATTATATATAATATGTTGCCTTTAATTAGATTATACATATATAAAATTGGTTTCCTAACATTAAAGTTGTAAGAGAATTAATTAGCAAAATAATCAGATAAAATTTATGGATATTCTTGAGATATCTATTTTTTTTAACTAAAATCACAAACTTCAAAATATTAGTATAGAAGTAATTAAGAACTTGAAACGAAACAAAACAGTGCATGGCCCATTTCAAATAGACCATATATAATTCACCATGCAATAGTACACACGTAAATGCATGAATCCAAAATAATCATCGTCAATAGTCAACAATCCACCGACAATTAATAAATCAATCAGCTGGAAAAAAGTTGGAAAATGGAGTAGAAAGTGCACCTGATTGAAAAGTACGTGCAGCCTCTTAGAGTAGGCTTAATTGGAAAATTATTTTTATATTTATTCCAAGAACTATAATGTATTATGTATATAGTTATTGAATTATATTGATGTAGCCATGTCCACTGTATAAAATATATAACTGATTGAATCAACTAGTTGAATCTACATATGTGGGCAAGTATATGTTGATTATAACTCCAATTATATATGATAATTTAGTGAATCACATAAATTCTTAATTTTAGTGCCCCAGAAGTATTTCTTCACTTGATTTAACTTCAAACAAGTTGAAATTGAAACAACACCAAAAAATAACCAACTTTAAAATTTGAAAATAACAAAAAAAAAAAAAAAGATCGTAATTCGTAAGCATTTAAAGTTGAAAGTTACATGAGACATGATCAACAGTATTTAAAACTTATCGAAAGAGTCCTAAATATTTTGTTTTAATTTCACCTTCATTTGTTAGACTCGATTATCCAAACTTCATCATCACAAAATTGCCAAAAAAAAAACAATAAAATAAGACATATCACTCAGATTACCATCTTAAACCGGCTGTTTTTCTGATCTGGGCCGGGTTTAAAACATTGTTTTAGAATGCAAACACTTTAAAAAAAAAAAGTGAAATAAAAAAATTCCCATAAGAAAAATCCTCCTACTTTCATCAGTCCATGTTGTTTGGCAAAGCTCATTTTTCTTGACCAGACTTTAATTGAAAATTTATTCACTCAACCGTGAGATGGGACCACTGTTTAAGCATTCAATTATCTTGCTGCAAATTTGGTACTAATTATATAACTTTTTATTGACAGCTTTCAATTATTGGATTAGATTGTTTTATTTTAGCATCTTTTTTTTTCATTGGCTCTTATGGTCATGTGGATAATTCTGCTAGCAAGTTGTCTATTTGGAAATATCTTTAGACTGTTCTTTTTTACTTTCCTAATAATAGATTGTCAGTCATATTACTAAACGGGAAATGCTCACATGCGGGCACATGTTAATATGTCCACCGTTGATGCGGTTTATATTGATAAATGGATTTAACCAACTTAATTAAGGTAAAAGGTACAATAAAGATTGCAGAAAATATGATTTTTATTGAAAATATTGAAGTCGGTTACAGAATTGGGAAGTCGGTTTTTCCGTGTACACCAAGTCGGTAACAGAGAAAACCGAGATAAATATATGCGTGTTTTTATCTATTTTGCCGAATCCTCGTATCGTCTTTAATGTTGCTATTTATAGTTATGCTTGGCACACATCCCAAGATAAATTAGCTTCAATGAAGATTTGACGGCTTAGGGGCGGCAATGACGTAGGCAAACTTTTTAGGTAATGATGAGTATGGGCGCTCCTCTATTTGTGTGACAAGCGTCACTTCTGTCGGGTTGAAGTCGGTGTTATTCGCGACGTCGACTTTTCAATAGAATTTTAGCCCTCCATGACATCCGACAAGCTACTCTCTAACCGAGGTGACAATCTTGAGGTTTTAACGTTTTATCCTGACGACCTTTGGGATTTTTTGTCTTCAAACGTCATATGAGAACCGAGGTGATATTTCCGAGGTGCCAGCTATTTCGTTTTGAATTGTCAAGGACCCGGTTCGTGGTTTGGACTTTATGAAATCTTTAATCTATCCTTTATCTCAAGATATTTTAATCTTGATATCAACAGTATACACACATTGGTGATGTTAATATGTTAAAAAAATACATCACCAATGTGTGCATGCCACATAAGTCGGTGAACATATTAACATGTGTCCATCGTGGGCATGTGAGCATTTCCCATTACTAGACCCGTGCAATTAACTGTATTATTTAAAAAAAGTATATGTATAAAGTGTTATAAAATTTATGTACAAATCACAATCAAGAGAATGCCAGTCCCAATCTCATCCAATCATAAACAAGTCTATATGATCTGTAATCTATGTACAAATCGAAGTAATTAAAATGTGTGGTTAAATTTGAGTAACAATCCTGGTATGGTATTTTGATATGAATGTCACTTTTATCTGTATTTTCTTTTATAATATGACATTTAGAATTTTAAAATATGCATACATATTAAAAAAATAATATATACAATTATCTAACCATTAGTTTGCTTAGTTTTACTGCTCATAGTTCATGCAAACTCAACATTTTTTGCAATAAGGTTTGAGTACCATTTACTGGTCCAAAGCATGAATAATTTTAATGGCTAACCTGCAACTATTTTTTTATTATTTTATTATACACATTAAGATTTCTCAATCTACTGAATCTACCAAGGCATATCAATTATTTAAATTAATCTTGTACTAATTCGTGTCAACTGTCAACACTTCAAACAAAGCATAACCCGATTTGGATCCACCGCAGCCCGGTCAACGGGCCCATACAAAACGGGCCTTTATTATAATATCTGCAAAACCGTGTCCTTTCGGGTAAATTTGAAAAATCCACAAAACCTGTTGTCGTCATAAACACCTCTCCTCCTCAGTCCTCACAAAACCGCTGAAAATCAATAAGTAAAAGCTCTGCACACAATAATAAAGCAATCTGGATTTTGTCGACGCTAAAACCAACCAACCCTTTTTATCTGAACTTTCTTTAATAAGCCTTTGGCCATTTTTCATTTGACTCCTTCAAACTGAAATCTTTCAAAAACCCCATGTTTGTATGTATCCTTTTGTAGCCTCTCATAATCCACTTCCCAACTGCCATTGATTCTTATCAACATTTTTTGCTCTCCGTTTCAGTGGTTTTGTTGTCCCTGTTGTTATTTTTATGTAATATAAACAGTGTTTTCTCCTTTTATTCTGTGTGATAAAGTTCACCCTGTCTGAACATATAAAAGATACAATTTTTTTGTTCTTCAATGGAGTTGTTTCTTGCTAGACGGGCCTCAAGAAGTGCAAATTTGGCGAAAAGATTAATTTTTGCAAGTGTTTGTGCTGTTTTGCTTTGTACATCGGCCTCTCAACTCCTGCCTGCAGATGAAGGTACAGATTTGTGTGTGTGTGTGTGTGTGTGTGTGTGTGTGAGAGAGAGAGAGAGAGAGAGAGAGAGAGAGAGAGAGAGAGAGAG